AGAAGAAACAGATAACCTCTAAAGGAAATTCAATCAGGTTGACACCAGGCTTCTCCAAAGAAACATTATGGTAAGAAGAGAATGGAGTGACATATTTAACAAACTCTAAGTCAACAAATGCTAACCAAGAATACTTTACCCTGAACAGCTCTTCTTCCTCTATGAAGAAAAAATAAAACCATCTCAGACAAACAGAAACTCCAGAAATTCATTAATAAACCTCCACGCCAAAAAATTCTACAAGCTGCCTAAAGCCAACAGAGGAATGAATAGGAAGAACAGATTAAGGTAAGAAATAGAATCACAAAAAGAGAAACAAAATGGCAAATACAGATGCCAACATATCAATATTAACTCTAAATATAAATGGACTAAAGTAATCAATAAAAGACATAGAGTATCAGACTAAATTAAAAAAGCAAAATCTAAACTTCTTCTATCTCCAGAAAACACATTTAACTATAAAAGATAAACATGGATTGAGATTAAAATATTGGACAACAATCCTACAAGCAAATGGACAAAAAAAGGCAGGAACAGCAATACTTATATTAGATAAAGTAGAGTTCAAACTTAAAAAAGGTAAAAAGACATATAGATGGTCACTACATTATGATTAAAGGGAAATAAATCAGGAAAACATAACATTAATCAATATATCATCACCAAATAAAGGAGAACCAAAATATATCAGGCAATTATTATCATCTCTGTAAAGTTACATCAGAGAAAATACAAATGTAGTAGAAGACCTCAACACCCCACCCTCCCCAATGGACAGATAAATGAGACCAAAAAAAAAAAAAAATCAAGGACACCAGAGCCCTAAACAAGAAGCTAAACCTCATGGGCTTAGGACACTGCACAAAAAAAAAAAAAAAAAAAAATACAATAACACATTTTTCTCTAATGTACATGGATCATTCTGCAGGATTGATCACACATTGGGTCACAGGATAAATAGCAACAGGTGCATTAAGATCAAAATCATACCAACTACCTTTTCTGATCATAAAGGCACTGAATTAGAATAAGCCATGAAAAGAAAGCAAGGGACCCTCCTATTTCATTGAGATTGAAATCTACACTATTGGAAGACAACTGGATTAATGAGATCAAAGAAGAAATTAAAAATACACTTTGAGACAAATAACAATGAGGACACAACTTTCCAGAATGCACAGAACACAGCAAAGAGCAGTATTAAGAGGGAGTATATAGCAATACAGGCTAATATTACGAAACAAGAAACAAATCAAAGAAACGACCAAATCCCCCATCTCAAAGAATCAGAAAAAGAAGAACACAGGGCCCTCCCGGTGGCACAGTGGGTTAAAGCACAGCACTAAAAAGCTAAAGCCACTTCAGCATGAGTTTAATTCCCAGCCCCGGAGGGGACCCACATGGTGTAGCAGACCTCTCCTGACCCGCAGACTGCTCCCCTCAGCAATGTACTTTGTGAGTTGGCCTGTTCTGCTCCTCACTCTGTCTCTGGTGAATCCTCTTACCTTCCCTGTCTCTCTGGTCTGTACCTCAGTTCTGTATACATAAATAAATTTTTTTTTAAAAGAAGAACACAACCCCCCCCCAAAAGCCTGTATATGATAGGAAATAACCACATTCAAAGCAGAAATAAATGAAATAGAAATTGAAAAAAAATCCAAAAGATCAACTAAACCAAAAGTTGTTTCCTCAAAAAATAAATAGACAAAATAGAGAAACCTCTAGCCAGGTTACAAAGAGAAAATAAACTATATAATCACTGAAATCTAGATAAAGAAGAAAGAAAACCTAAACAGACCAATTACAAGCAGTGAAACAGAAACAGTAATCAAAACCTTGTCCCAAAACAAAAAGCCCAGGACCAGACAACTTCACAAAAGAATTCTACCACTTGTTCAGAAATGAACTATGCCTACTATACATAAACTCTTTCAAAAAATTAAAGAAAGGATACTACCAAATACATTTTATGAAACCAACACTATACTAATACCAAAATCAAATAAATACAACATACAAATAGAAAACTACAGGTCAATCTTCCTAATGAACCCTGATGCAAAACTCTTCAATAAAATCCTAACCATGCATCCACAAATGCCTCAAACAAAGTTAGAATCCAACAATGCATCAAAAGGATAGTACACCGCAACCAAGTAAGATTTATTCCAGGGACACAAGGATGGTTCAACATCCAAAAATCAATTAATGTAATCCAACGCATCAACAAAAAAGAAAAGTAAATTCATATGTTTACATCAACAGATTCAGAGAAAGCATTTGAGAAAGTTGAACATCTTTTTATAATAAAAGCCCTCAAAATTCTTGGGATAGAAGGAACATACTTTACCATAATACAAGTCATATTCGACAAACACACAGCCAATATTATTCTCAATGGTGAGAAACTGAAAGCCTTTCCTTAACAATCAGGAACAAGACAAGGACGTCCACTCTCACCACTGCTTTTCAATATAACACTGGAAGTAGTGTATGAAAAAGTATCAAAGTGTTCAAAAATATGTTTATCTTAGATGATTTGTAGGATTTTCAAGCAAGCACAAACTCTTTTATTTTTTTCAGAGATGAGAATTACTGGATATTGGATATTCCTAAGCAGAAAATACATGAGGTACTATCAGGAATGGGGAATTCCAAACAATTTATTCCTTGATGTAAAATTTCAGATGTAAAACACAATGCAATAATTCTTTCTGACGGTTTTCAGAAGTAAAATCAGAAACAATTCAAGAAAACATATGCTAATTTATTTCTGAATATTTTCCTTCATTATTTTTCTTTTCAGTTAAATGAATTGAATCAAGTTGAGAAGAAAACCATATTTTTAAAATTGAGAGGAGAAATGCAAAAATATTAGAGTATTTGTTTCTTAAGAAACAAAGCAAATCTAATTACATCTGAGGATATATATTACTAAAACGCATCTATTTTTTTCTGTTCCTTTTCATTTCCAACTTTTTATTTGGTGTGAGAAGAGAATCAGCTTCTACCCTTTTGATTCTCAACTTCCTTACATTTTATTCTTATTTTCTTTCGGCATTGTGTTGTTTTAGGAGTGCCTTGTGTCTGTTTCTCATCCTACTAATTACACTTGTTCAATTTAATTAGCAAAATCAAAATTGCCATCGGGTTATATTTGTTGAGTCTAGAGAATATGTGAGTTCTAATATTGTTCTCTGAACTTAATTAAAAAAAAAAATATATATATATAACTATCCATTTAAAAAATTATTGTTAAGTATCCATTTTAAGTACTTATAGGTATCCAAAATATTTAACCTCAAATCTTGTTTCATTAGATCTGAATATGATAACACATAATCTGAGTTTATACCAGAAGTATAAAACTTTTATTAAAAACTGAATTGCTTTTGTAATCATAAGGAAAGGTATTTTTCACTGTTTACCCTTCTTACTATTCCTGCATGCTAGATGTAAGTCTAAAGGTATCTGACCTCTGGGGATAACCATTTATGCAGAGGTCCAAATTATATACAAAACTGCCAAGGTTACTATAGAAAATATGGGAATATAATATATGGAACTATTACTAATAGTTGCACAAAGATTAGAATCTAATCTCATTTAAAAATCTGTTTTAATTTTCTATTTAGTAGTTTGCAATGCACCTATATTTCAAATGCTAAGCACATATGCACATTCTCAAACGTCCATAGATATTAGCTAGCTATTTTTACAATGGAGGAAAGATTCTGGATTTCCCAACAAGATGGTATGAAAGTATCTTGGGAAATGATAAAAGTTATGATGTATGTTTCTACAATTCCTGGAAAATATCAACTCTATCATCTTTCACTTTATGACACCAATGTAAGGAGTTAATGCCAGATTTTCACAGCTGACTAAAATCCATAAATATCATCATCACCCTCTGCTTGCTAGAAAACCAAATAATTTAATGAGTCTCAGGTTAGAGTGATGAACCAGTATCTAAGGATAACTTATATTGGTAGCAGTCTTGTTTTTCACAGGGCACAAAAGTGACCTAATAAAAGAAAGAAATTAGACCCAGTTTTTTCTCAACATGGAAGACTATAAAAGCTGAAGGTCAGATGTGGATCCGTGTCAGTTATATAAGCAATAAACAAGGGGCATAGGGAGAGCCTCTGGTAGTTTGTGGATGCCAACTAGTATGATTTTCATTTAATGAGCTGTGTGGCATCCATATTGTAGCAAGAGGACTTTTTATAGGAAAAAAAAATACGATCATGCATTTGCTTTTGGCAAATTTATAAAGAGAATTCAATTCCATAGCCTAGAAATAGGTTTAAAAAAAAAAAAAGGTGATATATTTTGAACAGGAGTCACTTACTCAAATGAATCAATTTCACGAAAAGTCTGATGGTGTCCTAAATGCAAAGGTATAATAAACTGTGGAATGATAAATGTAATCTCTGAATGGAGATGAAGGCCCAATTTTGTTCTGGAGGAATTTTATTGCGATGGAATCAGACATTCTGTTTTGTACATTATAGCTCACCATAGTAAGAGAATAAACTTGGTACTTTTAAAAATTGATGCTCAGTTTAGCTTTGCTTCTCACATATCCTTTAATTAACTAGCACAGTGTTGATTAAAAAAATACACTGATTGTAAATTATCTTAAAAAGAATAGAAACAGGAGTCTGAGGAGAATACATCAAGAGAGCTAGTGGGACAGATGTATATGCTAGTGAGAGCAGGTCTTTGAAATTGCAAAGCTGTTTCCATGGTCATACTGTTCAGAGTACTCCATGAAGCCAATATGCTACAAGCTAGATATATGTATTTCAAGCTCTCAAAACTTCAAAAAAGGGAAATTAGTTAAAGCCAAATATAAGTCAGAAAATAATTTTGTTTGAATAAATCTTGCAATACCATTTCTATTGCTATAATTCTTTATTGTCAACAGCTTCCCTAGGCTCTTTTATAAATACAGCTACACCAGAGCAGAAATATTAATTAAAATACCTCACCATATACTCTGAGGTCGATGTCCCTGTGCTTCTCCCCAGCAGCATTCACAGCTACACAGGTATATCTCCCTGTATCACTAATTTGTGCACTGGTCAATGCTAGGATGCGGCCCCCGGACAGAACCTATTGATAATAAGAAAGCAAATAACCAATATGCCCCTTGAGAATAGCAGGTATGAGTGGACTTTTTCTGAGATTAATCAATTGACATTTGCTTCTAGAAGGATTTCTATTTGGTTAATTTCATGTGGGCAAACATTATATAATTCCCTTCTCAACTTCTGTCTGTGAAAGATAGAACCATACTTGGTAATAACCACTGAAAATAAGTATCTCCATACAGGATCCCATGAAGTTTCAATTCATTTATCGGGGGTGGGGGGAAGGAAGAGGGAGAGAGAAAGAGATAGAAAGAGAGAAAGAGAGACTCAAATTAAGGCACTTATTTTTTTTCTCAGACTCAAATTCTATTCTCATTATGGTACCTTTATAATTTTCATATATTTTTCATTATTCATATAGAAGTAAACACACTATATATAGTTTTCTGATTATGTCTAAGCACTTAAATTTTCTATTAGAAAATGCTTGTGTTTTTTGTTGATAAAAAATTTTGTTAGCTAAGTCATCTTTTGTGATGGTAGTAGGGAATGGGGGAATTTAGTAATCAGTAAAATAAATAGTCAAAATGTAGCACCCATATATGAGATAATGAAGCTCTTAGATATACTGACCTTTTAATAAACAATTTAGAAATCCCAATTATATGTCCATGGTTTCTTTATGGATATATATATGTGTACATTTTTTGATAACATTTGTTACTTCTTACTTATTGTTAATTCTCTTATTTGGATACTTTTTGTTAATTCCTATTAAATCTCCTTAACCATTTAACTCTTTGTCCATCCTGACGTGGTATAGTTTATCTAAAAAAAAAAAAAATGACAGAATACCTGTATCCCATTAGTGAAACTAGAGACAGGACTCCCATCTTTCAACCAGGTCAGACTTGGGGCAGGGATGCCTCTGGCTTCACATTCTAACCTCACCATGTTATTTACCACCACAGTCATCATATTATTGCTTCCAGAAATTGATGGGGCCACTGAAAAGGAATACAAATAATAAAGGTAAGGTATGTTAATAGCACACAACAACTCATCTCAGAAGACTGATAAATATATGTAATCTCAGCATTTTATGAGATTCTAATCACAGTGATTTTATGAGATTAAAAGTGATGTCTCTATTTGACAGATGAAGAAAAGGAGGGCTTGCCTTTTTGTTTAGGAAATCCAGTTTTTAATGTCAGAGTGGATTTTTATTTCTTGATTTCTAGAGTCGTGTGTATATGTGTGTGCATGTGTGTATCTCCACTGCACCCACTGGAGTATATAAACTACCATCTCCTTTTAAAACCACTGCTAGAGGAAAAAAAAATAAATTGGAAACATTTCTCTAAAAGCTATGATTCTCCTCAAGAGTATTTATAAATAGGGTTATTAGCTGATAAATCATGACCATTTCAAGAATTCATCTAAAGTAAATTTAAGTTCAACATCATGGGAAAATAGAGCACTTTAGTATAAATGGGAAATAAAAACATTATTGGTTTAGAACACTGTGCTCTTAAATAAACATGGCAATAATACACTTTGTTAAATATGTGCACTAGAATTTTATAGAAGCACTTATCATTCTGAACGTCTCTTTATCCTAAGATGAATCTCCAAGTAGTACTAACCATGGACCTGCAGACTGTAAAACAACTCCGTAGCTCCAGCTGAGTTAATTGCCACACACTTATAAATGCCAGCATCTGTTATCTGGGCCCTTTCAATATCAACAATTTGTCCTCTGTTCAAGAAAGTTACAGTGGTGGAGCCTGAGAGTGGACGATTATCTTTATACCAAGTAATAGCTGCAAGGGGAAGAGAAAAGAAACCCATCTGTTATTTTTTTTTCTAAGTTCAATAACTGGCTTTAACTAAAGCAGCAACACTTGATTTATTCATATACTTATCATTCCAGTTTAATCATTTAAATATCTCTTTAAAATTGGTTTTTGGAAGAAGGTAATGCTTGAATAGAAATGGTCAATATAGGAGTTCAGAAAATGAATTTAGAAAAATCATATTCTTTGTGTTATCTTTAGTGATCAATATTGTCAGACAGTAAACTTTAAGTCTGCTTATTATAATGGATCTTTCAGATATATAAACATTTGTCTATGCATCTAATCAAAGCAAATTTTATATACATTATTAATCTCAAAAATGTATATTATTGATTTATATGACAGTCCACAAAATGCAAAATAACAGTCTGAATAAATTATTGATTTGGGTTACACCCACACATGTATATATAGGGTTGTCAGAAAAATCATGATGCATTTTTGCTTGAAAAACATAGAAAAATGTGTCATGATTTTCCAATATCCACATGTATGTATGTATGTACACACACATACACACATACACCTCTGTTATATACATATATTTGCATGTGTATACACACATGTATATATATATATACATACATATTTTTCACACATGTAAAATACCATTGTGGGGGTTGTGACCATAGCATAGCAATAAGACAAGGTATTCAATATTTCTACATTTTTTAACTGGTTAAGTAACTTCTACACTTAAAAGCAATGAAAGTTCAAAAATATCACCTATCCTTTCCAATGCTTTACCACTGAAAGGAAAAAAAATTAATCTTTCTTTTATGAGTAATTAATATATATGCTTATAAATAGATTAATCTCTTCTCAGCTATCTTAAAATGTTAACACGTTATAGAACCCACAAATACACCTACCAGGCAAGGGATTTCCCTCTGCCTTACACTCTAGTTGCACAGGGTTGTTCACCACCACTGTCTCATTCAGCATCTTCCCGGCATCATCCAGACTGGGTGGCTCTGCAAGAGGCACCAGCAGATAATTCATTTGTCTAATTAGGCTATTTAAACTGACATTGTTTCCTTAGTGGAAATGATCATTTCTTTCCTCACATGTGCATACTAATACAGTTGGAATAAAAGTTAAGTATACTATTAAGAATTGAAAACTGGATTTAAAAAAGATCCTGCTATATTTCTGAATCATTCATTTTTCTGTGCCCAGATAGGAACATCCTTAGAAATAACAGATTAACAAGTATTCAAATAATATTAAAGGGATATTTTTAAAATTCCAGTGAGGCTCATTGGTCTCTGAGGATTTGTCTTTACCAAGAAGTATAGTATTCCATTCAAGTCTGCCAAGGAGAAATCATTATTTTTGAAAATACATACTGCATAATTGCATTGGACAGTACTATTAAGCAATTTCAGAAAACAGTTATTTTTGCAGTTTCTAGTAGTTTTTTTTCTTTTGATATAAAAGTTGTAACTAGTGAAATAAAACAGAAAACTGTTTTTAGTTGTTAAGTAGTCACAGATAATGCAACTCTATTATTGAATATACTTATCAAATAGGAATGTGGAAAGTCTGAGACATGGTATAAAAGGGATTACAACTTAAACAGCAATACCCTATATTTTTCAGGCCTCTGTGGCAGTGCAGGGGTGAGTGTAGCACTATGAAGCTATCACCAGCCACTGCAGCCTGAATTCAATTTGCAGCTACAGAGCTAACCCACATGGTGCAGGAGACTATCTCACCCTTTGCTCCCCTTAGCAATGTATTTCAGTATATCTGCTAGTTCAGCTCCCCATTCTATCTCTGGAGAATCTTCTCACCTTTCCCCCCAGCCCCTGCATCTCTGGCCTATACTCCAGTTCCCGTATGCATAAAAAAAAGTCTTAAAAAAATACCCTATATCTTCAGCACTATGTCTAGGAACAAAGGAGGGTGGCCAGTACCCCCCCCCCCAAAATTACAAGTAAACTAGTAGTCTTGTCTTATTTGAAGTAGATGCTGCATATAAAACTTAGTGCTTTATTATGCAATGGAATATTACTCAGCAATCAAAAAGACAAGCTCTTGCTATTTGCAGCAACATGGATAGAAGTAGAAGGGATAATGATTCGTGATATAAGCCAGAAAGAAAAAGAAAAATACCAAATGGTTTCACTCATAGTAAGGGTGTAAGGGATCAGAAAAAAACAAACAAACAAATATATAGTAACTGTAATAAAGTAAAAATGAACATCAACTAACAACTGTAAACCAGAGACATTCTACAGGGGAGAGGGAAGCAGGATCAAAACGGGGGCAGAAAGAGCACACAGTTCTATGGTGATAGCACATGGCTGAACTAGTGGTGGGAAGTGCACAGGGATTACAACTGAGATGAAAAAATGCACAAAATGAAGAATTTTAAATAAATATA